AAATAATCACTCAGAGGCTTAATATTAATTACAAACTGTTTGGTCTATGGCTCAGGATTCTTGCTAGCTAGCTCTTTCATATTAAATTAACCCACTTCTATTAATCTATGTGTTGCCGAGTGGCTGTGAGGTTACTGGTCTGCTGGCATGTTGCTCCTTGGGTGGTGGGCTGGTGTCTGCCCTGACTCCACCCTTCTTCATCTTCAGTTTGAATGTGCCGCCTAACCTCATTCCACCTCACCACTGGCCAAACAGCTTTATTTATTAACCAACAGTAGCAACGCATATTCACAGTGAAGAAAGACCATCCCACAGCTGCTATGGCCTATGGTAAGGCAGAACAGTGCAAAGTGGGAAATTCAAGAGAGATACAGAGAGAAGAGGGTGGAGTCGGAGCAGATGCTAGCCCACTGCCAAAGGAGCAACATGCAGCAGACTGGTAACTCTATGGCCACATGGAAATATATAGATTAATAGAAATAGGTTAATTTAAGATGCAAGAGCTAGCTATCAAGAAGCCTGAGCCATAGGCCAAACAGTCTGTAATTAATATTAAGTCTCTAAATGGGACAGAGAAAAGTGTCCACCTACATCTTGCTCAAGAAAGGTTTACAAGAATACAGACTCCAGAATTTATTTTGCTTCTGTTGTATTCCTGTATGTTTGCTGCTACTATGTATATGGTGTGGGGAGTCTCCCACTGTCTATATTATTATTATTATTATTATTTTTTTTTTTTTTTTTTTTGGTTTTTCGAGACAGGGTTTCTCTGTGTAGCTTTGCGCCTTTCCTGGGACTCACTTGGTAGTCCAGGCTGGCCTGGAACTCACAGAGATCCACCTGGCTCTGCCTCCCGGGTGCTGGGATTAAAGGCGTGCGCCACCACCGCCCAGCCTGCCACTGTCTATATTATAATGTGTTCATCTCATGAATATATTCCATCTCTGGGCACATTTATATCTATGGATGGTCAAGAAGATGATTTCTCCTTAAACTGTACAATTTTGATGAATAAAAATAGTACTAGAATATTTTTCATGACCAGGCCTGTTGTTCCATGAGAACTGTGAGACACTTAGGGCCTGTTTTATATCATAGCTCAGGCTGACGTGGGAAAATGGCTGTACTGCCCCAGTGCTAAGACAGCTGTATACCATTAGCTGATGTAAAGCTTCAGAGTAACTTTGGATTAGGCCAGGTGCCTTGCTAATGGCTTTTAAGGTGAACATTTCCCAGAAAAAGCAGTCCAGCTCACAAAGACATACTGAGCTACCTGGCTACGTCGTAAAGCCCGGTTGTTGCTGGGGGGCAAATGATTTAGTCCTTGTACCGTTCTTCACCTCAACTTGTGAACATAGATTCTGACTAGTCAAGTGTAGATGTAACCAATCGTCTTATTAAAATAAGAAACACAGAGCCAATGTAAAAGAGAAAGCCGAGAGGTCAGAGCTCAGAGCTGAAATCTTACCTCCTGCAGTGCTCCTAGCTTCAGAGAGAGAGAGAGAGAGAGAGACAGAGACAGAGACAGAGACAGAGACAGAGACAGAGACAGAGAGACAGAGAAAGACAGAGACAGAGAGAAAGCGAAAGTGAAAGCATAGCCGGCTAAAGCTTAAATCCAGCCACTGTCAAGGCTACAGAAGATAACTTGACTCTGTAGTCCCTAATGAGGGCTGCAGATATTTTTAGATAATTAAAAGTTACATGCAAGATTTAAAACGCTTTTAATGTCACCATGCCTTGGAACATGCCAAATTGGGCTTATATTAGAATATTTAAGGTAAATCTGAGTTCCAACCAAAGCATTTATGACAGAGAATCCAAGAAAGCCTGGCATTTCTGTTAATCACAAAACGTTAGTTTAAAATGTTACTACAGTTAGAAATAGAGGATATATGCACAAATTCCTTATTTTTCTTAGACTCCTCAAAAGTTTAGTTTTATAAAGCTGTCTCTCTATAAAGATAACAATGACTGGTTCTTTCTTTGAAGCGGCAGCCCACCACTTAGGAAGCTAAGATTTATTATGTGTATGTTGTCAGGATGACTCTGTTTTATCAAATGAGATGTGACTTTAAAATGTAACTCCTATATTCAACATGAAAGGGTCTGTTGGGTATATATAGCTGTAAAGAACAGAAGAGATTCAGAGCCAAGAGAGAGGATTTAACATGAGAATAAAGGAGGTTGCTGTTAGAACTTGTGTGCTCCTTCCCTAACCCCTCAGACAGAAAAGCCTAGTTTATGCCATTTTTTTTTTTTCAAACCCTGCATTGTTTGGAGGCTGGACCTCCAGGACAGCAATATCTGGTTAATCAGTAGAGGCTGAGAAATTGTTTGGAGACTGTTTAAACTTTGAAGAATTATTTCTCGGGAGAGTCTGTACTTGGTGTTACATGAGAGTTTGCAGCTGCACTGACCTTGGTCCTGAGACACTCCTGGCAGACCTGGAGTTCTTACTTTTGATTATGGCTTGGTAGATTAAACCTTTGGTGTGACTTTGGTTGTTGGAACCTTTCTCAGCCCCTGTTAACCTTGTGTGTGTTTGAATAAAGTAACAGGAGTGAGCTAGCTGAGTGTCAGTGTTTTCCAAGAAGCCTGTATGGTTGTGGAATATTACTTTATATAAAAGTGCATTGCTTTTGTTTATGCTGCATTGTTTAGCGATGTAGAGACGTGTTGCTTTGCCTGCCTAAGGCACCTGATTGGTCTGATAAAGCTGAATGGTCAACAGCTAGGCAGTAAAGGGATAGGTGGGGCTGGCGGGCAGAGAGGATAAGTAGGAGGAGGGATCTAGAAGAAGGAAAACCAGAGGGAGGAGAGAACAAGAGAAAGAGAGAGAGGTGTCTGGGGCCAGCCAGGCAGCTGCCAGCCTGCCAGACATGGAGGAAGCAGAAGTAGGACATGGGGAATGAAAGAAAGGTAAAAAGCCCAGGCAAAATGTAGATGAGGGAAAACAGGTTAAAACAAGTTATAAGAGCTAGTGGGACAAGCCTAAGCTAAGGCCGAGCATTCGTAACTAATAATAAGTCTCTGTGTCTTTATTTGGGAGCTGGCTGGTGGACCAGAGAAAGCCTGCAACAGTATTCTCTCTGCTTCTTCAGAAAAAGAAGGCTTAGCATCTTGGTGAGCTTCTCTCTCTGCTGCGGCACCTAGGACCCAACATCGAACAATAGGTACCAAGCGCACATGCAGGCGAAACACTCAGAGGCAGGCAGATCTGTTCGAGGCCAGCTTTGTCTATATAGTAAATTCCAGGACAGCCAGGGCTACATCAGGAGACCACCTCATCTAAAAACAAACAAAAACACTCATACTCACAAATTTTTTAAATGTTAGATTCCGTTAAATATAACTTTCTCATTTAACCAAAGAGAACGGGGAGAGTCAAATTCAGTGGTGCAGGCCTGCAATGTTCACACTCGAGGTTGAGACAGCAGTATAGTGAGTTCAAGCCCAGCCTGGTCCACGTAATGAAACCCTGTTTCAAAAGGACCTGAAAGGAACGTCCAGATGGCTCAGTGGGTAAAGCACTCTGTGCAAGCCTGACGGCTGCTTTGATCCCTGGGACCCACAGAACGGTGGAAGATAACTGAGTCCATGTGTTTGTTCTCTGACCTCCAGGTGCTGTCCTGTGGCAAAACTACCCACGTTGTGCACGCACGTGCTTATTCTCTAAATAAACAGAAAAAAGAATGCTGAATTGAACTTCATTGTTTGTTTTCTGTTTGTGTTGTTTGTTTTTTTTTTTTCAAGACAGCCCTGGCTGTCCTGGAACTCACTCTGTAGACAAGGCTGGCCTTGATCTCATAGAGATCCACCTGCCTCTGCCTACCGAGTGCTGGGATTAAAGGTGTGTGGCACCACTGCCGCCCAGCTTTCAATACTTCTTATATTTTTGGTTGTGAGCCTAGCCTTTAACGGCTGAGCCATCTCTCCAGCCCAGCTTTCAATACTTCTTGAGTTTGCTGTTTGAGGCAATGTTCCCTGAAGCCCAGGCTAGCAAACTTACTATGTAGCTGAGGATGAGGTTCCCTGAAGCCCAGGCTAGCAAACTCACTATGTAGCTGAGGATGACCGTGAACTCCTGATCTTCCTAACTCCAGCTCCACCTCTCAAACTCGGAGATTACAAACAGGCACCACCGTCCCTAGCTCCTATTTTCTGGTTTTTTTCTTGGAGTATGTATGTTTGGAGTTCGGATGACTTTATTGCTGTTTTGGGAATCAAACTCAAGGCCTTGTCTATGCTGTGCAAGGGCTCTATCGCTGAGCAACACTTTCAGCCTGTTTTGGGATGTTTTATGTATATGTCTGTTTATTTATTTGAGACAGGGCCTTAATTATATAACCCAGGCTGGTGTCAAACTCAGAATAATCCTCCAGCCTCAGTCTCCAGGCGGCTGGGAGTCCAAGTGCACACAGCCTTGCCCGGCTTGCCTGTCTGTTAATGTCTAAAATGGGTCCTGTTTCCTGGTCCACGGTCCACTTTCAGCACTCATCCACCCTGTCTTTAAGTTTCTCAGTGAATCCCCGGGGTATGACGTGGTCCTAGGTAGAGTCCGGTTTGGGATGACTCCATGAAAACTGTGTGAACACTGGGAAAGGAGGCCTAATGAGGCCAAGAATAACCAAGGCATAGGAGGAAAAGGCTTGCACACTGTTATATAAATGCATTTAACTCTCTTCCTGGAACTGAACAGTCTGGGCCATTTTGCAGGAAAAAAAGAAAGAAAAAGTAGGGTCAGCCGACTAAGGCCCAAGGACTTCCTGGGAATGATTCCCCTGCTGAAGCAGAGGTCATCTGGTCAAACACTTTCATTTTACATGTGTGGAGATGAAGCCTCAAGGGGATAAAGTGACTGTCCACGTCCCCCGCTCCCTACCCCCTGCTTCCCCCTCTCCCCCCCTACACCTCCCCACCCTTTCCAATCCTTCAGCCCATTGACCTGGAGCACTGAAGCATTGTGGTCAAATTATACAGATGGATATCAGAAAAAGTAGAATTCCTTGTGTTTATTGGCCATAAACTCTACTTTTCCCCCATCATATTGAGCAGTCTAAACACACACCCTCCCCTAAGAGTTGCAGAGCCAGGCCACGAGAGCACACCACACTGTGCAGCGGCCACATTCCTCCCAGTGTTGGACTACACACTGATCCACGCCCAGCTTCTGTGGTACCTAACAGAGGCCACACTGCTTGCCTTTCCTCAAATCTTCCTCTGCTCCGCCCTAGGCTCAGGCAAATAAACTAAACTCTAAGCAGTAAGTGTTGGAGTGCGGAGGCTGGACCAGGTTTTAGTCCAGCATCCAGCCTATCACCATCAAGAGCAAGATGGACATCCAGGCTCCTGCAGGGAAGAAAGCAATGATTACAAAACAGGATTGAGGGGCCTGGAGGGATGGCTCAGCAGTTAAGAGCACACACTGCTCCTACAGAGGACCTCAGAGTGGTTCCCAGCACCCACGTCCACAGCTCACAATAGTCTAACTTCAGTTCCAGGGCGATCTGACACCTCTGACCTCCATGGGTGCCGGCACTCATGTGTATATCATACACACACATACACACATAATTTGAAATAAATATTTAAAAATGGGATTTGAGGAGCTCTCAGTCTATGAGACCTTTTAAATTTCTTTTGATTACATTTATTTATATTATTTATTTTGTGTGTGCATCTCATGGTGTCCATGTGGAGGTCACGGAAGAACTTTCTTGGGTACTCTCCTTCCATATATGGGTCCCAGGGCTGAAACTCCTCAGGTCATCAAGCTTAGCAGCAAGCACCTTTACTCACTGAACAACCTCAGTTGGGAGTGTTACTGAGGACACCATGGTTTTTTCTTATTTTCTTTGAGACACACAGTCCAGGCTGGCTTCAAACTTGCTCTGTAGCCAAGGATGGCTCTAAACACCTAATTCTCCTGCTTGCATCTCCTAAGTGCTGGGATTACAGGGTAAGCCACCACACCTGGCTTTTATGTTGAGTAGGATCTCACTATCTTGCACAGGCTGGCTCTAAACTTCTGGGCTCAGGCATGCTCCACTGTGCCCGGTGCACTTTAAACCTTCGACCCTAACTCTGAGTCATTTCTGGGTAGTTTCAGATTTTTGAGGCCAGATAAGGCAACAGCCCCACAGTAACTCTGCCATATGCTACAGATGAGACTCGGAGAGATTAACTGACTTCTTGGTCACATAGCTCTGAGAAGAAACAGTATCCAGAATCAGCACCAACCCGAGTGTGTGACATGAGAACTTACTTCTCTACAGCAGTCCTCTTGTACTGACCTGCTCCGCTCGTGCTGCTGGAGGCTCTGGGTGCTGCAACCACATAAAAACAGAGATTGAGTTCAAAGTGCCCCTCAAACCAGATGTGGCCAGCACTCACCCACCATTCCATCGCGACTGGACAAAGGAGGCTGGCTGATTTTGGAATCTGGGACTCAGAAAGGGGGAGATGATACTTCTGGACTTACCTAAAGCATGG